ATGTACGGTACAGCAGTCTTTTAAAATACTGTTTTCTTTTTCTACTTAAGAAAAAGTAGAAAAAAAGCAGACAAACAAAACTTGTAAATAGAATTCAAACAGTTAAACTGAAACTATACATTGAGGTAAAAACCTAAGCAATATAGACTATTAATTAAGACATTTATACATATGTCTGTGTTTGTGTGTGTGTGTGTTAAACATGGTAAAGAAAGCAAAAGAAAAAATAAACATTACAAATAAAAATGTTAAAACAACATATTCAAAATATACAGTAGTAATAAAATTATTGTATCTTGCTGTACTACAGAATTCCTAAAAATAATACAAGATAATACAGCTCAACTTTCAAACAATTTAAATTGAGACTACATGAAAATGTATTGTCTCATCTTTCTTTTCTGTCAACATGAAGCCATGTGAGACACAAAGCTTACCTAGCACCAGAGTAATTGTAAATTATATTTGCTTATAACAATAGTCCAGAATTCTTGATTTACTATAAACAAGCAGCATGGTGGATCATTCAGCCTGTTCCTTCCTATTTTGTATAAGTAGGACATACTAATGAGATGCAAATAGCTTATCATAATATATGAATCTCAGAATCTCTGGGTTGGTTGCTCCAAACAAGTTGGGCCTATAAGCCAGTAACAACCCAGGGTTGTTTATTTCTAAATCCTGGTTTATTTTTCAGAGCAAGAAGCCAGGATCATGTGTTGGGTTGTCATGAGACCGCCCAGAATTGCTTTGCAGTGAGATGGGCAATGACAAATTTGAAAAATAAAAAAATAAAAAAATAAGCTTTTCCTGACTGTTTCTCCCATGTCAGTAGATAAAACTAAACTGGCCACATGCATCAACCTGCTGCTTTTTCATACTAATTTAGGATAAGCAAGAAATAATACAACTACTACCTAACTGGCAGAATGCTGGGGTGGGGAAATCGCCCCACTCTCTTCATAAACATGGGGATGTTGAGCATGTATGTGACAGAAATGGAAGAGTATGAGATTTCACTCCCAATGTTTTTTTTAAAACATTCCTTGTAGATATATGCTTGGGGATGGAAGTTAGTTTTACAGTTATTTATCATGTTGATCAAACTCCTTCTAGATGATTTTTTCTAGTTTTTAAGAGCAGAATCTACCAATCTATAATTCACTGGTATTAGTATGAAATAGCTCTTAAAAGTTAGCACATTTTTTTCTCCCCTTCCTGCTTTAGAGATGCTGTTTGGATTTGATAGCCTAGCATCCTATTCCTAAAATATGAAGGCATGTAATGAAATGTTTTATTGGAGAAAATATAGTTTTCATACAGACAAATGCTATTTGTATAATGAGCCAGAGTTGTCTGGGTACCTACATTATATTTAGCCAAGACCAAGCAAACCACATGTCGCCTTAATGCAATGGATAACCAACCAGTTAGATCATTTTCTGACCTCTTTTATATAATTCTGTGTGATTTATACCTTGTTTCATGTATCTTTGTTGAAAAAGACAATATTGTGTTTGCTTTAATGGTGATTTCTTGTACCTTCACATTTAAACTTTTGTCCTTCACCTTTAGTTGATTATAACCAACATTAGATCAAAAGTCAGAGTCTTGGCAAAGGAGAAGCAGCTATTCTGGGAAACTAGAGCAGTGTCAATCAGGAAATTTCTGCTATGACCTCTGGACACTAATGTTTGCAAAGGGCAGTTGAGGATATGGCCAACTTCAGTGTCAGGTGCTTTGCATATATGGCTTTTTGAATTGGGCAGGAGTGTTATAGAGTATTCACCTACTTGTCAGTGTATGCCAGTAACTTGGTCAGTAGGGTGTTTATGGGAAGTTAATAGATTACCAGAGATAATATATCTTGTTCTGCCATGCTCAGCATTTTATTTAACAACTTTCTTGGTAGCAAAAAATGCTCAGAACTTCCACGGAGATAAGAGAGAAGGCTGGAAACAAAAGGACAGATGGTTCCATTCTTTCTCCACTAGATTATTTTGACTTCTGTGCTAGGCTGCAGAGGAAGGAAAGGTTGAGCTTAGTATGTTTCATCCGTACATGGACTGAGAGAATTTCCTTGGCTGGAACATGGATGAAGAATGATTACAGGGATGGGAAGGGATCTGAAGAAAAGTCCTATGAAGGAAAAGGTTGGGAGTGTTTGGTATATTTAATCTGGTAAAGTAATAATGAAGACATATGGACATGAAATGATAATATGATGGCCATCTTCAAGGAGTGTCTCACAGAATAAGCTTGTAATGTTTGTTCACATTTACAAGACAGGTTTTTAATTAAACATCAGAAAAAACTTCTGTGTCATGAGTTGTTTGATATGGAATACTGTAGATTACCTTGAAAAGCATATCCACTGCGAGATTCTTAAATAAAGGTTACCTTTATTTTATAGCCATCTGTTGGAATACTGTAGGAGTGCACATCCTGTAGAGGTAGGAGTTTGGACTAGATGATCTTGGAGATTATTTCAGTCTGTCTGATTTATAAAGCTGGTATTGCCACTTATTTGTTATTCCAAAAAATAGCTGTCTCTTTTGACTATTTCTACGGTGCAGGAGACATTGAAGAAGTAGACTCACAACTCTACTTCCTAATGCTACCAAAGACTTTCCTCTAAGTTTGTTCCAGGCCAGCACAACTCCAATGACCACACAGGCTGAATATCTGATAAACTTACATTTATTGCCTGCTTCTGCTATGGGAGACCGGATTTTTCCATCTCCAATTAGCTATGAAGCTGGCTGGGTGATTTGAAACAGTTGTCTTCTTTTAGTCTATTTTAGCTAGCAGGGCTGTTATGAAGATAAAATGTTGGGGAGAGGTTAAGGAGACCATATATGCCAGGAGTAAGCAACATGTGACTTCTTAGGTATTGTCAAAGTGTAATTCCATGAATCGCAGTGTACAGAATAAGGAAGAGGACCTTGATGGAAATATGCAGGAACCGTTACCTAGGCAAAATAAGGTGAAACATTTTTTTTTTGTAATGTCCAAAACAATGAGATAACATTTGGAAGCGGCCAGGCAGACACCTCCCTGATTCACTGGAGCATGAGGAAGTACAACACAATCAGACTTGTAAGATTTTGTTGTTATAGTTAATCTCAATAAAAAGTTTGGCTTTCCTATGGAATTGATTTCCTGGTCTGGTCTACCTAATGGGGCTAATACCTAGCCAGCTTAGCCAGTGGTCAGAGGAGATGCAATCTGCAGTTGAACAACATCTGAAACATTACACATTCCCCATTTGGATATACTAATATGAGCTCTTTGAAAGAAAGGTGGTTTATAAATGTAATGAATTGAACATCTGGCAGATGAAAGGCCAGGACTGATGACTTTGTTAGGCTTAATTGATTACAAGCTTTAGCTTATTCTCATAATCATTAATGTTCTTTATAACATGTAAGAAAAGACTACTCTGTGACAACTTCCATTAGCTTCCAGTGTGGGCTGATTGCAGGCATTCACTGCCAAGTGTTGAGTTTAGCTTCTAATAAATCATTAGCTGACTTCCATATTCAGAGTGATTTGAGGTCCTGAATCAAAATGTGAATCCACAGTATATTGGCTGCTGCACCTGAGTGGCAATTATGGCGATATTCACTGTCTATTATATAGACAGATGACTTACTCAACTTTTTTCTTCAGTGAAAGCCTACAAAGTATTACCAAAAAAAAAAAAAAAGGTTATCGGTCTGTAAACTCCGTTTCTTTGTCATTCTCACTTCTGTAAGACATCCACATAATGTCCCCTGGGGCAATTACTGCTCACTGGAATGCAAGGTGAAATGTCAGCAAAAAATGTGATCGCTACGTCACTACTGATCGCTTTGAGCCCAGAGTACACCAACTAGAAGTATGTACTTCATAAACTGTGGAGATGATTTCAGTGAAGCTAGTAAGAGAACAACTGGTGAAAGGAAACAAGTGTTGATAGATGCATGTAGCTTAATGTTTTATTTCCTAATGAGTTTTTGATTGAGCCTGGTTAAAATCCATAGCTCTCTTGGTACAAAAATACAGAGCTAATCGTTAAAACTGTAGCAGAGGATTAGAGAAGGCTATAGAGTGGTTTTAATGCAGGCCTTGTGTAATACTGTATCCCTGCATGTGATTGAAGCATTCGTGAATGGAATGTCTTATTAACGGTAATTAAAGCT